TGCTGAACTCAGGGCAAAATGGAAACAGCTGTACTTTTCTTAGGGCCTTTGCAGGAGTCTTTGTCATCCCTGATCACATGCCTCTTGTCACAGCTTACTCCAACCCTTCCTGTTCTATTGGTTCAAAACCATTTGAGAAAAGGGAGTGGTACTGTGTGAAGATCCTGCCAGGCTTAGGCAGCAGAAATGCCCAGACCAGGTGCAGAAGACAGAAGTGAGAAATGTGCACTGTATTTTTAAAATTATTTTTTTCTAAAATTCATTTATATGCAAATCTGTTTGTTTGAGTGAAACCCAGTGCTGACATCAAGGCAGATAACAGGACCAAGTCCCCAGTTTTTCCTGGGTGGCAGAGCAGCTTTAAGTGCCTGTCAAAGCATTCAGTCAAGTTAAGGTTGCTCTGCCCCTCTTCCTGTCCTGGTGTCTTGCCTGTCTTCCACTCTGGTGGAAATGCTGTTTTTCTTTTGTATCTGGAATAACTTTGTCTTAATTCAAGTTTTGATAGGACTTTAGGACCTCTTAACACCATGTGTTTGTGTGCCTTTTTCTGAACTAATTCATAGTTAAGCATCTTAAGGTGTGGGTGATGTTCAACAATGAATTCATTACAAGAAAAGGAAGAAAAAATTGCTAAATCAAAAAGAAAAACAACTATTAGAAGGTCTGGAGTAATTTGCTGTAGGACAAAAGTGTGGCAATTCACAGGCTGTGGGGAGTGAAGGCAATAAGATTTGCATGAAGAACAGGTTGGGAATGAGCTCTGATGCTTTGACAAGGCTTGGGGTGATGATCTGGGGCATTGAAGGCCAGAGGATGTGGGGGGTTGTGAGAGGGTTTGGAATATTGTGATTGGACTAATTACCTGGAGAGTTTTACAGGGGCCAAGGGGATTGAAAGTTGTATGTATGTGCAGGTTGGGAAAGTACCGAACAAGAGGGTAAAAAGGGCTTGGAGGTAATAATCGAAGATTTGATTCTTTGCATCAACTTGAGTTGGTGTTGTGAAATGCCGCAACAAGCAATGATTTGGAGCTGTTTCTAGGTGAAATGTTACTGAAGGATTTGTTTATATGATAATTAAGGATCTTAATGAAGATGAATTGGGGGTAAATAAAGTACTAAACACCTAGAAAATAGGTGTTTATAGCTATTTTGCTATAGTTATTTTCAGTCTCTACAAAGGAATGAAGCACTCAGCTTTTTCCTAACAAAGGGTTCTGACTCCTCTTTTAGGCCATTTCAAAACTCTTTTCCATGTTCCAAGTGTTGCAGACCCACCAAAATAGTCTTTTTGTGACCATCTGCATGACTACAATTTTTTTTTGTGTGTGTGTGTGCAATGCTCTCTAGCATATTTCTTAATCCGGTCCTCTATGGGCTGTCTCATGAGAGGATGTCAACAGCAAAAGTTAATTATTTTTTGATCCCCATTTTAGTTACATCTGTAATAGTGTGAATTGTTATTAGTGAGTATAGTAAGGCCGGGGCAATGATTTGGGAGGTTATCACTTTAAAATCAGTGTTTCACACCCAAATGATGCTATTAAATTCCCCTTGTGCTTTTTGTGGATGTAAGATAAAAAGTGTGGTTTCCACAGCTTCACAGCATACTTCTACAGGAATTATTACATTGTAATAATATATGAGGGAGAAAGTGATGTTAAAAACTAGAAAGTATATTAAAGAGGAATCTCGCATTAAACCTTTACAAAGTAGTATACAGACTTGAAACTATAGCTTGGCTTACACATCTGTAATATACCGGGATAGTTATTCAATTATTAAGGAAAAATATGTAACTTTTGTCCTATAGTCACAAGCCACTTAAATAGGCCTAATTGCTGATCTAGATGCTGTTATAATGTAGTAAAAGTACAAGCAAACAGCACAGATCCCATTCCTCCTTCCTTCACACCTGTGAGAAGAACGGTGACTATTTTATTAGTTTGTTTGGTGTCAGATTGGTTCTCATCAGTTGGATTTGTCAGTCTGGCTCAGGTGGAGGGTGTGATTAATGTGAAGGTGACTGGATGAATTAATAAAATGAACTAAAATTTGTATATCTGCATGAAACAAGCTCCGTGCTTCTTTGTTTTACCATGCTTTCAAAACAACTTTTTCTTCCTAGCCAGAGATACTTTGAAGCTGTCAGTGATGCAGTCACCTTCGTTGCCTCAGTCACCAGTGTTTTGCACCTTCAAGGTTTATTCTCCTTATTACACGCTACCATGGGACATCTGGAAACCACAGACATATTCATACTTCCTAGGAAATTACCATAATTTTCCACATTCCTCATCTATTTGTCTATAAGCATCTCTTAGCAAATAAATAAATTGAATTCTCTGTCTCCTAGTGTAATGTCTGTTAAAAAAAGTGTGTTTGCAAATGCCATTTTCCATCTCCTTTTGTAAACTTACGTCCTGACATTAAAAAGAAGCCTTCTAGAAACTTCTGCTTTTCACTGTCTCAAAACAGACTTTTAAATAGGCACTTTTTTTTTGTTTGTTTTATAAATTAATATTATGATTTAGAGAATAAACCAAAATGTTTTTTTGGTTATGGTGGTATTATATGAAAATTTACATGAATGTTGGATATTCTCCAGGTTTAAATGATAATTTGAGCATTTTTGTCTGAAATCCTCTTCAAGAGAAGTTTGCTGGATTTTTTTATTTATTTATTAATCTTTGCCAATTGGGATATTAATCTTGATGTCTGCTTTGGCCCAACACACAATTTTTTGGAACAGAAATTGGAGAAATATTACTTGTGGAATTGAATAACATCGTCCTAAACCATTTGCATTTTCCAATTTGAGAATTTTAGCTCTTCAGGGAAAAGTTTTATTCAGGTAGTAAAGAAAAGACACGAGAGTAATTTTCCAGAGGAGCAAACAGCACAGACTTACATTGATAGCTTCAGCTCCTGATCCTTGGGGATAAAGGAGAGGGCTGCATCTAGCAGCAGAATAATCTCTCCATTTCCACCTGATTTACAAGTTAAGACTTTGTTATCCACAGTCCTTTTGATGTGGAATTTTCTGTGGAAGTGTTCCTGTAAAAGCTAGTAAAGGGACATTTCCTAATAAATATTTGAATTATAATCATTATTTTCAGATAGTCTGCAAAAACAAATTTATCTCTCTTGAATCTATGCTAATTTGTTGGACTAAATTACATGGATTGAAAGATAAACCATTACACAAAATTGTTTCCAATAGCATGTTTGTCTACTGGAGTGTTTGATTGTCTTATGAAGACTGTGCTGAATACACTATGCTTTTTATCTTCCAGCCACCTCCACATATGTACAGAAACTTTTTATATAACAATTATGTCTTTTTGCTGCAAATAAGTCCCTTCTAAATATTAAAATGCAGATAGAATTTCATAAGCTTGTCTCAAACCTGCATAGATTAATTTATTTCAAAAAGGATTAGATTTTCACACATGGTTTAGAGTAAGATATTCTAATGGACCAAATAGGTCATGTATTAATAATTACAAGGAAAAAAATATTACTTGATTAATCCTATTTGAAGTAAATTCCAGTAGGTATTAATTACCCAACATTTATGTTGTTAGAAATCATCCTTGCTTTTAAATATGTGCAGTCACAATGTGAAGTGGGATGTTATTGAGAGAAATCTGTATACCTTTATGTCTAGATCATATGAAACATCTTAGTTGGAAAACATTCTTATGTGGATAAAGAGTGGACAGCTGACTTAAGGTGAGAGATAAATATGCTTTAAATATGAGATTCCTTTTAAGGGTGACATCTTTCTTCAAAGAAGTGTTCAGAAGCTGTGCTCATTTATACACATGGCATCGGCAGACAAGATAAGTAAATTGGTGTTCTTCTGAAGGTCTTCAGTGGGTTCCCACTGGGTTACTTTGTAAATTAATTAAATGTCTGTAGGCATTAATGTGAAGCTTCTTCAGTAATCTTTCTTCTGTTCATCTGAGGCAGTGAGATGTTCATCATAGGCAAATATCTTCAGATAGGCTTTCAAAAAAAAAAAGCCATCTTTAGATACTATCCTGACAGCATTTAATAGAATTTATGTCTTCAGATTTTGAGTATTCTACAGAATTAATATCTGCTCTGAACGTATCTGTGTTTTTCTATTAATGTTTGGTTTTTGGCATATGGGCCTTTGTGGCTTGCTTTGGCTGTTGGACTTCAATGTAAAATATTTGGATTTGACTGTGGTCGTTGCCTTTATGCAACATTTGACATTACTAACAGAAGAGTTCCTATTTCAGCAAATAGGAAAGGGACTGAAAAGAAAGATGCAAAAATTGTCAGTAAGGAAGACATAAAGGAGTGCTCTTAGGAAAAAAAAATAAAAATAATTGAGAATTTTTCAATTCATCACAACAAAAGGGTAATAATTTTCTCTGCTCTTACAGAAAAGTGTGTTTCCTACAGTTAGTGGGGTGTAGGGTCATATAAATAGCTTAAGAAGTAGGCTTTGAATGTAATCTTTGTTACACAGTGATTTTAAGGTAGTAATGCTAAGTGAATTCTATTCCATTAATTTTTTGGAGGCCACTGTAAAGAACTCTGCTAGACATAAGATGAATGTTATTGTTCCTGGCAATGAATAATTACGCTGAACCATTTCATATTCATTTAATTTAAATTCTAAAAAGGACTTGTATATTAACTTCATACAACTAGAGGTCTAAAAATGAGTAGAAAGTCTGAAAGACTTTTTAAGGCTTTCATTCAAAGTAGTTCACATTCAAAATTTACACATACATATATATGTTCTGCCTCCATCTTTATGTAAAAACCTACTCTGTTTAGTATTTTCACTGAATATTGAAATAAATTAAAGTTTGCAGCATTTTTCACTGTTGCCTTAGAATCTGTTAACATGTTTCCCAGTTCTGTCCAATTATATATCTTTAGAAAAATATTTTCAAATATATTTTCATTTGAAAATAAAAGCAATTCAAACCGTTAGTGTCAAGGAATAAAAATATCAGCCTATATTTTCTCTAGCTCTGCTGCAAACTTATGCACCAGAACCATCTGCACTGATGAATTTAACCTACACCTGCTATCATCTATCTCATTATATGTTAAATGTTTTCAAGCAATTCAAGAATCACAGAATTATGATTCTTTTTAAAAACAGTTTATCTTCTCTTTTTCCAAAATAATAGATGCCTCTGATTAAAGTTTAATACAGGAAGGAGAAATAAAAATCAGTCTTGCAAACATGTAAGAAACTGCAAAAATATATATTGGTCAGTAATATCCGCTTTTGGATTAAAGTAAGTGATTTATATTCCCTCTAATTTGGGGGTTTTGGTTGGGTTTTTGGGGTTTGGGTGTTTTGTTTTTTGTTTTGTTTATTTTTGGTTTTGTTTTGGGTTGGGTTGATTTTGTTGCAGTTTTATACTTTTTATTTCCAGAAAGATTAAAAGTGTACTCAGCTCTTATATATTCTGAAAGCAGATTTTTTTTTAAGTAAAGTAGTTTGTCAGGGTGTTACTTTTCACTGAAAATTTTTAGATATCTCCAAACACTGTGAAATTCTTTTATCAGGCCTAAGACTGCAAATGATTAGGTTCCAGGGATTTAAAAGCATCTGAAGTTAACACACACCTTTTTTAGAGCAAATCTTATGCTTCAATTTAAGAAATGGAAATTAAGGTCTTTACAAGTCTGTATTCAAAATAAAATGGAACAGTGAAGGCAGAACACAGGGCACAAGGATGAATACAAATCATTGTGCAAAGGACTGTTGTGGAGGGTGGAAATACAAGAAGATTGAGGTATAATTAAAGGATGGTGTGAGCATTTTGGTAGGAGGATGTTAGAAATAATTTAAATACCATTACAGAATCAGTAGTGGATGCAAAAGCTTTGTTACTGGCTGGGCAGCAGCAGTGAACTCCTGAAGATTTCCAGTTGATGTGGGTGTATAAAAAAATTCAGTTGCATAATACTAACTCAATTATACCTATTGTGAATTTCTATTTGCTACACTGTTGAAAAAAGGACCATGGGGGGAAAGAAAGAGGAAGGAATAAGTGGGGAGTACATTGAAACACTAACAAACCTTAGAATATTGTAAATATTTAATTGTATGAACTGACTAAGATGTAGCCATTGTCTATAAGGTATAATTAACTATATGAAACAGGTTTATTCATTTTTGCACAGACTAGTATCATCAGGAGTGTGAGTTAAGCCAAAATTCTGTTGTCTTTTTGATATATATGTGCTGAGTTTTGCAGGCTACTCGAGGACTTCCCTCAAAGCCTTGCTCACAACTGAATAGATATGTGTGACCCTAGGCATTGCTGGAGTTCATTACTGCCCTTCAGGTGAAATTAGCACAAGGATGCACCTGAACTTGGTATGTTACCAGGAAAGGTTTAAAAGCATCACAGATGTTCTTGTGTCCCCTCATCAGTCAATTCAGTGTTGACATCACCTCTGAAAGCATCTGTTTCTGAAAGCAATTTACTTCTTACTTGTCACCTCTAAGCTGAATTTTTGTAGTGTCCGTGTGGTATGACTCTTGAAACACTGCACAACTGACCATATATTTCAGTACATTTCTAATCTTAATTTCAGAAAAGTTTTCACTGGCTGTTGAAGTGCAAATACCTCAGTTTAGCTATATCCCAGATCTGGAATTCTGGAGGGAAAATTCTTTTGTTTCTGTTTTCACAGGTATTTTTCTGCCAGCAGAAAGCACTAATTCAACTACTTGTCTATGGAGAGAGAAAAGCCTATGTTACCACCTACATGCAATGAAACCTAAGAATTTTTGCTACTTGGCCATTGCCCAGCCATCAGTATCATCTTCATGTCGATCATTTTCACCTGCGAGTCCATTTTTTACAAGAAGAAATTGCTTTTCTGACTATGACTGAAACTCCCCCCTACACATTTTAATGTTTATATGTTGTTCTGGTACTCGTGATTTAAAAACAATGGAAAATGCAAAGTATAGGAAGAGTTGATTTGTTGTACATTCAGAATTTAGCTAAAAAGAAAGAAGGGAACTATGATTTTGATGCAGTGAGATATGTAAGCATGTGTATAACAATAAACACTTGACTATTCCCGTTGATACTTTTAAATTGTAGTTGTGTTCCTTGCCCCACTCCTTTCAGGAGTTTTGAGCATATTTCCAAGTCTCCTTCTTTTATGAGATTTCTTACAGTGCTATATGAATGTCACTTGGAGAAGGAGTAAAGATATTTCAAGAGCTGCTTGTATTTTTCTACTGTAACATTAAGCATATATGATGCTCATAAATACACAATCAACTATCAAGTGCATAGACTCTGGAAATGTCAACTGCTTATACTGATCACTTTAGAAAGAGCTGGAATTTTGGCACTGGTATTAATCACTACAACAATTCTGTTGAGAGGAAGTATTTACCCATATTACACTAGCTAAAGAGCACAGGGAAATCCAGTAGTGCTGTGCAAGGTGATAGAGATAAGGACAAATTCTCTGGGTATTGTTCCTTTTGAAACAGACTCCTTGACTGGTCTCTCACTGGGGTTATTAGTAATATTGGTATTACATTCTGAAAATACGATTGGACCTTTAGCGTCTGTAGTATATGTTTTCAGGTTCTCACCTAGTGCTCCTAGTGCTAGTTATGTCATTACCAGAATTTCTCCTAGTTTTAAATATCCCACGTTATTGTTTGGCATAATGCAAGCACAGCTACAAATAGAGGGTGTTTTTTTGTGGGTGTTTTTCTTTTTTTTCTTCAGAAAGTGTTGTCAACATCTATTTAAATAATAAATGTTTCAGCAAGGCCAACAGGGTTTTCTGTCATCCTTTTTGACATGTGGTACAGCTTTGCTGTAAGCAACATTATTACATGGAAGAATATATTATAGTCTTTTATTCATCCTCCTTTTTCATTGTGATGCTGACAAATACATATCAGCTTTGGAAACATCTTTGGCTTTAATTTCGTAAGCTTTTTCTCAAAAGAAAACTAAGAAGTTAAAAATTCTTAGAAAACATCAATAGAGAAAAAGCTTTAGGCTTTTACAAAAGAAAAATCTTGCGTCAACATTTTTATTAAATCACATAAAATCATGTAACTTGATATTATATCATAAAAGAAGGGTTTAAGATACTTCGTTTTTTTACTATCATTTTAATTGAAAGGTTTAAAGTACTTCATTTTTTTCACTATCATTTTAATTCATTTGATTGCTTTTATATTCCACTGGTATGTTCTTTACTAAAAGTAGGGAAAAAAAAGAATAATGGTATCATATACAGTACAAGAACTACTTTCCAAAACTGATGTGAGCATATGAAAAATGTCTTTATAATCAACCTGGTAAATCTCCCTCCTTTAACACACTGCCAAGAGGAAAGACTGCATTGTATCTGATCCATTTGACTGAAGACTCAAAGTCTGAACAGCAAGAATCATAAGATAAAACTGAGAGTTTTGTTTAATAGGTTACTATAACAGGAATTTATTCTTTCATATGAGGTTTATATGAAGGGTTTTGTTCCCCAGTGATTGAAATTTATAGATGAAATCCAGATAAGTTAATGTCATTTTGATATTGCTCATTTCACTTCGAACAAACTCACATACCAAGAATCTTATTTCAGTAAGTAAGTGTTTATTGGTATGATTTCTTTTATCAGGGCCATCAAGTACATAAGAAACAGAGAAATCTTCTATAACACAAGTTTGAAAACATCAGTGTGGGATAATTCTGTTTATACCTTGATTCAAATTTTCATATCTTCTTTCTGTGTTTGTACAGCTTTTCTACTTGTGGCACAAGGTAGAATTGACCTATTCATATATAATCACTTCCAGTTCAATGAAACTTGGCGACAGTCTTGCACTGAGATTTAAGTGATTTTTTTTCCCTTCTGCATTGCAGTTAATATTAGCTTGTGCATGTAAAAATAGCAGTAATGCCAAAGGGTGCAACATGCCCACTGGTGGGCACTACAGCTAGATTCCTGCCCAGAGCATGGAGGATGCCTGCGCTCATCTTAAGCTCATGAGCCCCAGAGAGCAGCTTGCTTTCCAGCTGTGAGCTGAAATCTCTGCTACTCATCAATTAGATGACCTTATAAAATTAATGAGACATGTTTTTACAACCTTCTCTTAGACAAGGCAATAGCAATCACTGTGTATTATATGACAGTGTTTAAACTATCAGCATAGAAAAAAAGTCATACAAATCCAGTGTAAATACTTCAAGTTTCATAAAATAATTATTTATCTTAAAAAAAGCATTAAATATGCACATTTAGCTGTTGAATGGCAAATTAATAATTTATTCAACATAAAAGACAGGAAGGGATGTATTAACATTTTACACTGAGTTACTTTTTTTTTTTTTGACAAGCTACTATTGAACCACTAGGTGTTTAGTTCTACCATGTGTTTTTTCAAAGCCTTGCAGCTATATGAAGATGTGTAATGATTTTGAATGACATACGTGAATGTGTCTTTGTCTGTATATGGATGTCTTATATAAATAGATTCAAGAGAGAGAGAGACTTTAGTACTATTTGTTTTCAATCATTCACACTGACAGTAGTTGCTGAAAGTTAGTGGGACTGTAAAATAACACATACATTCCCTAAAGAAGCGTATTTCCTGAACTACTACTTTTTTTCTTATCTTAAAATTCCACAATCTTTATGCACATGTACAATCTAGTCACTTGTGAAATATCCAGAGTTTATATTTCTGAGGAAGTTTTGACAAGGCTGAAAAATATCTTTATGTAGTTCCTCAAATAATATTTCACTTTTTGGATCTCAGACAGCTCAGTTCACAATTAAGTAATGAACCCCTAGTATTAGCTATAATATAACATTAAATGTTTGTGAGAAAGTCTGTTAACTAACCATGAACATTAATTTGATAGCAATCCAGAGTTGCCAATATCCAGCATTCAAAACTCAGACATTGGTCCTAAAAAAAATATGGAAAAAAAAGGAAAAAATCAAATCAGAGAAGATTACTTTTTAATGATTAATGGTTCTTAATAGGTAAGTTCCTAGTATCTGCCTTCTGGTTTTCAGCCTTTAGGATAAATATTTTCATTGTTTCTTTGCAACTCAGAGGAATAAAAAATAATGAAATCTGAAAACCTTTTATTACCATGTGAGCTCAGGGAATTGAAGTTGTAAGAAAAATACCAGTTATAATTATTCTTGTGGTAAAGCCACTGGAACAGTGCTTCACATTGCTTAAAGCATCACAGATCTTAAAATATTTTCCCATTTATTTTGTTCCTCAGTTTTAAATATTTTTTAATATTACGTTTGATACCATGTTTCCCTTAAGTAGACATTCACAGAGAACATGCTCTTGTTCATGTTGAGTTCTCTTAATTATATATTCTTAAAATAACCATTAAAAAAAACATCTCCTAAGCAGGTCAAATTTTTCATCAGTTCTCTTTGGATGAGTAGATTTTCAGGTTATTTTAAGATAGAATGACTGGTTGACATCTGCAACACTTAGGAATTTCATCCTTATTCTTTGTACAGAAATAAAATGGCAGCCTTCACCTGCCTGAAGAATAACTGTCTTTTTCTTTTCCTCTTGTCAGACAGAGAATGGAAGGCATGAGGTGATTAGAAACACAAAAAGAGCTCACTGGGACTAGAAATGCTGAATTATTTTTTTAATTACTTGGTATATATATATTGGAGGAGAAAAGAAAAATGTCTCTAGTAGGGAGGACTCAGGAAAGATATATCATTCCTTTGTTCCTTTTTATTCAAGGAAAAAGGACAAGTACTTCTGAGATTGACTCAGAGATGTCAGAAGACCCTTTGCTCTTACAGAATAAACTCTTCTAAAAAAACCAAAAAAAAGGCAGCTTGGGTGTTGTGAATATCATCTTCTTTGACCTAGCTTCATTTTAAGAGACATCAGGAAGCAATGTGATGTTTTTATCCTTTGTGGCCTATCCCTGCATTTTGGAAGTGAATATGTAATCTATACTGTAATTTGTGAAAAACTTGAAAAAAGTTTTCTATTTCTATTTCTTTTGGTTTTCCCTGCTGTCCTGGTTTCAGGTGGGGTAGAGTTAATTTTCTTCCTAGTAGCTGGTGTAGAGCTGTTCTTTGGCTTTAGTCTGAGAACAATGCTGATAACACACCCATGTTTTAGTTGTTGCTAAGTAGCGCTTACTCTGATCAAGGACATTTTAGTCTTTCATGCTCTGCCAGTGAGGAGGAACAACGGAAGCTGGGAGGAAGCAGACAGGACATCTGACCCAAAGTAGCCAAAGGGGTATTCCATACAGCAGCACATCATGTCCAGTATATAAAGTGGAGGGAGTCACCCAGAAGGCCCAGATCGTTGCTCAGGTTGGGCCTGGTATCGGTCGGTGGGTGGCGAGCAATTGTATTGTGCATCACTTGTGTTTATTGTTTTCTTTCCCCTTTTAGTTTTATATTCTCTCCTTTTATTTCCCTTAGCCTTATTATTATGGGTGGTAGTAGGTAGTGGTTTTGTATTGTAACTTAGTTACTGGACTGTTCTTATCTCAACCCATGGGATTCACATTCTTTCAATTCTCCTCCCCATCCCGCCTGGAGCTCAGGTGGAGGGAGGGGAGTGAGTGAATGGATGTGTAGTACTTAGTTACTGGCTGGGTGTAAGTCACAACACCTGCCTGAAGCTTTGAACTTATTTCAATGTTTCTTTCAGGAGAAGAGCATGAACACTATGCAGAGCCTGACTGCCTTGAGATCAAGTAGAGCAGTATTGGAATAATTCAGATTTGGCAGCTGTTCAGCTATTATTTCTGGGAGCAGTTTAAAAGATTTTGAGGTAAGGTGTTGCCAGGGAAAATATAATACACTATATTTTCAGAATCAGAACTTGGACAGTCAAGTGTCTGTAGAAAACAGGAAAGCCAATTCTTTAATATGTAGCTTCTTTACTGATGTAATTTTATGCCCTTTTTGTGTCTGAAGAACTAAAACCCAGGACTTCAAGATCTTTGAAGCAGGAACTACCAATCCATAGCTACCCAGCCTCTGGATGTTACTGGAGTTCTAAATGACAATACGGTAAGGAAGTATTTGAAACAAATCAAGAGCCCCATTAACATTTCTATTTTAGTCCTAAAAGGCAAACTTCCACAGGTTAATAAACTCTGAGAGATTTTTCTGCTAGGGTAATGGGAGAGTGCCTACAGACTTTTCAGTGATACAAGCTATACAAAATTTTTCTAAGCCCAACACAGAAAAAGCTGCAGGCACTTTAGCCATTAATATGAACAACAAGAGTAAGGAATGTAGTTTGTACACCTTATTTGTGTTCATAAAACGTATTGTTTACATATCTATCAAAGCATTGTAAAGTTTTCAGATACTTTAATATACTTAGGTGATACAGGAACACACTGGTCAGTGCAGTTTCAGGCGGATTGACGGGTTCAAAAACCTCAGGCAAAACCAGATTGCATTTAACACCACCAGCTCTCTTCAGAGCAACATTTGCTGCTGAAGTCCAGTTTGTATAGCTAATCAGTTCCATCTTATTACACCACTGCTTTGGTTTATATTCTGAATGGGCTTTATGATCTGAAGCTTGTTGAAGGAAGTCAAATCTCGCATTAAAATCTGCTGCCTTTTAGGTGATAGCAGAGATGGGTTAAAAAAAATATTTCTACATCCTTTAACTCTGGTAACTGTGCAATGATTTTGAAACCTGTGCAGAAGTGACTATATTATAGACAAAAAAAGTTGGAATAACTTTCAGTATGATCAGTAAACTCTCTGAGATTCTACTGATGCTATTTAGACCAAATCTGTGCCATGTGACTACAGAATGGAGTAAATAAGCACTTAGGGATGCAAGCTGAATTAATGACAGCCTGTGTATCCCAGAGTGCGACAAATTATAGTTTGCTGCTGGCAGCAGGAACTACTCAAACAAATATTTCAGCATTATGACAATTTCTTAAGGCTTCTATAGAATTCATGTATAATAGGAGAACTGCCTACAGGGAAGATTATTAGGAAACTTAGAAAAAGATTTTCATTTTGTGATTTAAGCAATGTCTGTAATTATCAACATAGCCTATCATTTACTAAGTGGTTAGTTGTACAAATGAGACCTTTATCTTGTACTGTAATTACAGTATATAGAAACAATATACTTGTTATGGGTGATGACTGCACAGACATGGGT